AATTTTAACCGAAGGTTTGCACATGAGACGGGTGTCTGCAAAATTTGTTCCTCGCTTGCTCGGAGATGACCAAAGAGAAAACCGCGTGAATGTTTGCCACGACTTGAAGAGTGAAGTGCAGTTTTCCCTAACAGAAAGCAAAATTTCACGCACACTCTTTGTTCCTTCTGGTCGGCCATCTCACTAATCGCCAAATGGTTGAAACAGGAACGCACACAACAGAGCACCACAGACAAACCACTTAACTCAGACTGACGCCAGCTCACTAACAGTCGCGGGAGACCCCCAGCTAACACCACCTACCATCACAACTCGTAACTACAAAGCATGCGCGCGCAACAGGTCGTTTCCGGTTATTTTTGGGTCCCCCCTCGTATGTAGTCAAAACTGTAGTGGAAGTCCATGATCAGGAAGGATTCGTTTTGTATATATGTGAGTGATGCACTGTGTGTGTTTTCTCTTCCATGTTGGTGCGAATGAAGTGCCAATGTGTCTCGACATATGTATCGTTCCAACTGGTCATCGTATGCACCCAGCCAACTGGACTCCAGCTTAGTGACAAATATTCAGAAGCTCTTCTCAGAGCGTATCGAGATTTTCTCATCAGTTGAGTTCTCTAAAGTGTCCATCCTCACCGGTATCATCAAGATCAGTCTCAAGGTACTTGCAATTACTCCGTAGGCAGAGTAGCTCGGGTGGTATAGTGAATGGCTAGGAACAGCATGATTGGGTTTTGGTTCTTGGCAGCAGCAGGGATTTTTCTCTTTTCCAGCTTATGAAGAACATTGAGAACAGACTAATTAGTTAGTTAGTTATTGGAGAGGGTGGGTTTCCCCATGCACTTAGACCTATATTGGTCCATTGTGCTTCCCTCTATGATTTCTACCATTCTCTATATCCTACTGGTACTGGTGCTTACCATCAGTCCCTCCCAGCCAGCGAGACCGGCTCTACTAGCTGAGAGGTATCTATAATGCTTCCCCCATCTACCGGAGGTATTAGAGACTGCTGTTGGGCGGGAAACGTCCGTAATTTGGCTCAGTGACCTCCTTTGGAGATATGAGGTTCTTTTACGTGCCGTAAAGCTATGACACGGGACCCACGGCTTAAAGTCCCTCCCGGAGGACTTGTTCCCTGAATTTTTCCGCCCTTAAAAATTCGACGACCTCCGCCGGGTATTTGAACCCGCGTACTACGAGTCATGTGGTGGGAACGTTACCTCTAGACTACGGAGGCCGCTGAGAACAGACTAGCTCAGGTATTTGTACTGAAATGGTGCCTAGTTTGAATACCACCAGAGCACCAACTGTCCTGACAGGTTTGTCATGGTTTTCCTTCATCCACTGAAGCAAATGCCAGGATATCACACAGCTGCTTCTGCCTTCATTTCTTTTTAATTTCAAAAATGCACTCATTCTCACAGCTTTCAGTGTTTCATATGATCCATCCATCCTCATTAAGACCAACTCTTGGTGCCAGCCCAGCCTCTTATCATATGGATCCTGGTACTAAGATTATTACATTAATGGCATTCCATATCAGCTGAAAATGTACTCTGATTTCTGTATCTGCTGTTTAGCAATGGGAACATGTTTACCAAGCTGTTGCCCGGAAATGGTTGCTGTTTACAGAGTCACTAATTAGCAGCAGGTTTATGTGCCACAATATGAACTAACTGTGCTGGCAGAATCCATAGGTCCAACACTGCTAGTAACAAAGCCCACCATTGGACATGATCCTGAGCCAGTTTCATCCACCTGTCACCCCCACAACCCAGTTCCCTAAGACCTGTGTTGCTAATTAATTAACTCTGTGGTAGCAGGTCTTGAAGGTTTAGCACTGCTAATATGAAAGTCCACCATCAGACATGATCCTGAAACAGTTCCATCCATCTCCCATCCTCACAATCTACTTCCCTAAGATCTGTCTTACTAATTAACTAATCCCCTGGTAGCACAACCTGAAGGTTCAACACCGCTGATGCCATGGCCTGCCAATGGAGAGGAGAAGAGGAAGAGAAGACTTCTTGGGCCAGGCTGGGTTCTGTCTCCACTTGACATCCAGTATAACCTGACTGCATCCTTGTCTTACTCACTTTGACCAGAGGCAACATGTTCCTGCAAAACATCAGTAACCACCTACATGACTACATGGTGTTACAACACAGATTATCATCTGGACAATCAGTGCTATGAAAACCTTAACCAAGCAGGATGTTTGGGAAGAGCTTAGTTTGAATTTTGGCCAGAGCTTTGGCTACTGTGATCAAAATGTTTTGGTTGTTTTCCTGAATCCTGATCATCATCTGGACAATCAGTGCTCTGAAGACCTTAACCAAGCAGGCTGTTTGGGAAGTGCTTAGTTTGAATTTTGGCCAGAGCATGGGCTACTGTGATCAAAATGTTTTGGTTGTTTTCCTGAATCCTTCTAGGTAAATGCCAGGACAGTACCTTGTAGGTCACAACTATATCTGTCTGTCTGTCCCTATTGCTCCCACTTGAAGCATAGGGCATCTGTGAAATGCTTAATCTTAAGACAGTCTGTGGAACTCCTTGGACAAGGGATCAGCCTGCCGCAAGGCCGCTACCTATACACAGACACTGAATAAAAGCAGACAGACATCCATGCTTTGATTTGGATTCAAACCCACAATGCCAGCGTTTGAGCAGGCAAAGACATTTTCATGCCTTAGACCACACAGCCACTGTGATCAGCAGGTCACAGCTACTTCCTTGCAAATTCCTTCCAGTTCATCAGTCATCCTACATTTGACACTATAAATTAGTTACTTACTTACTCATGGAGCTGAGCCCTTCTAGAGGAGCCGCCAATTCTGCAGCTACTCAAAAAAATCCCAGCATTTTATGGAACCCGAAGGTCCATTACCATGTTCACAAGAGCCCTCAACAAGTCCCTATCCTGAGCCAGAATAATCCGATTCATCCTATCCTATCTCTCTGACTTTCCCACCAATATCCTAGACGCATTCCTCGTCTCCTCCATTCGTGCTACATGTCCTGCCCACCTCATCTTCCTTGACTTGATCATTCTAATTATACTTGGTGAAGAGTACAAGTTATGAAGCTACTCATATGCAGTTTTCTCCAACCTCCTGTCACTTCATCTCTCTGTGGTAGTCTAAATACTAACAGTGTCATAAGGCCACACCATAGCTCAAGTGGTTAGTTGCTGGTTTCCAACCACGGTGGCCTGGGTTTGATCCTGGGTCTGGTCAAGTGGGATTTGTGGTGGACAAAGTGGCACTGGGGCAGGTTTTCACTGAGTACTTCAGTTTCCCCTGCCAATCTTCATTCCACCAAATTCTCCATCATCATAATCACCTGGTGCAGGCTACAATAGGCTAATCAGTGGCTGCCGTGCCGAGTGGACCCAGTTGGACTCCACCCCCCACTAAGCTAAACAGTGTCATAAAATAACTGACAAAAGGAAAAACTCCTCAAAATGTAGACGTGTGTTTATTCAAGGTTTATAAATGTAGCAAAACTGCAACAAACATTTTCTTGACATTATAGGGGCAGCAATCTTGATATGAAATATATATGTAACAAGAAAAATGGGTTCCTGAGAGTATCATGAGTGTTTGTGGCATACCCTGGATACAAACGTTAACTTGTGTTTGATGTACATGCTGTGTATTCAGGTACTATATGTAATAACTGCATTATGTCAAGGCTTCTTGCCTCTATTGGACCAGCTGTGCCAGATGTTTTAATTGTGTAGGTAAATACAAGTAGCTATGGGAGGCTTTGTCCCTCCTACTCAATTCTCCTGATGAAGTACAGTCCAGTTAGAATTTTGAGCGCCAAGCAGCCATCTGTGAAGGAAGCACTGCTGACACATAATAGTTCACAAATGTCTACCCTTTGTTGTACCATTGTAAGAACTTCCAGCTGAATGTAAATGCATAAGGATTGAGTGACTGCCATAAATCCTGACAGGCTATTGTAGTTCTCTCAGTTCTCAAGTGCATGCTGTGAGAGGACCTCCACACTGCATGTTAGTTGAGTGGTCCCTGGTTCAAATCTTGGGCCAGAAATAGGCTGTCCTGACTGAGGATTATTTTGTGGTTTTCCAGTCTTTAGAGCATGATGCCAAAATAATTCCTTAAATTAGGTTATGAGTGTGTCCTTCAAGTTCAATCTTCATGAACCATGCTCTACAAACTGAGCAGCTGAAAGCATCATTAAGTATGTAATAAACATCAGGAGGACTTTCAGGTAGGCTATCATTGCCTTCTTCCAAGTCCTGTCCTATTCGTGAGCCATCTCATTCAGTGCCATGTAATCTGGATTTGGACTAGCAATTTAAATCTTAAAAACAGATACTGTTCTTTCTGGGGAGATTGTTATTGGATGATGGGGGCTACATAATGTTATTGTGCTTGCTTCTGCAGACTTTTCTTGAGTGTGTGCGATTGCGTACATTCAGCCGGTATGGACTGCAACAGATTCAAGTCGACACCCATTATTTGCAGCTGTATCTATGGAGATTTGTTGCTGATGAAAAGTAAGTAAGTTTATAAGTAAGTTGAAAGTAACTTCAAACAAGAATATGATATTTCATGAGTTTCCTCAGATCCTCTAATTGAATTACATTTCCATTCCTCATTCAGTATTCACAGTCATCGTACTGTTCTGATACAGAAGAAAATCCAATTTGCATAACAAATTTGTATGTAGAGATTTGTAATACCCAATTGAAAGAAAATCTGGCCAGTAGTGTCAGAGTCATGTCAGAAGAGTAATCAGTAAATTGCCTGTTTTTACACTGGACTCTGTATACTCGTATATGTGTTGGTGTGCTTCTAGTCTGGTTCACTTTCTATTGGATGAAATCCTTGGCAGTGCTGTACATCGATGTCTGGACCCAGTACTGATGGAACCCAGTGTTGTTGAGATCATATGCGAGCGAGGTTGAGAATTTTGCTGCATCAGAGTCAAGACTGGATCATGTATACTCTTAAAAACCTTTCATATCTTCTGTTGGAAGAAGGCATTTGGCATTGTAATGTTATCATACAGGTCCTTTGTAAGAAGCTTCCTTTATCCTTAGGTTTCATTCATAAACCATCCAGTGATATTCCCAGAATTTTACATGATATACTTTGTTCCCATGTTGCATATCTTGAAAGTTTTCTGGCTTAATTCTGACAATTGTATTTCACTATATCTCTGCACTCTGAGCTTTTGCATGTAGTTCTTATGTTTTCAGAGGATGACATCACTATGGCTTTCTGTATGCAGTGACAGTGTGTATTGTATGTTAGGGAACATAAACTGAAATTTCAGCACTACTAAAGGAATAATGTCATATTCAGACATATGGAACCTGTGTAATTTGTATGAAACAATTGTAAGTGTATTGTTTATTTTTAATATATGACATTTACTTTGAAGAGAAATAAACAAGGATGAGAAGTAATCCATTGTGCTTATTTGAAATTAAATCAGTCCTTGTGGGATATAACACTGTTTGGTTCCTCCGAAACATCAATTGCTGTCAACAGACCACATGGCTTCATATCTGAGAAGATAGAACTCTTCATACCCACTGCTGTGAGAACATCAAGTCCATCCATATTTTAAGTTAAGTCTATCCTAATTTCAGCTTTCATTATTTCCCGCATTCATAATGACAGATTTTATTTCCTTATGTTTCATAATAGAAGGGTCCTACTATGATGCAATGTTGCATACTTCCTACGGAATAGCCCTGATGACAATGAGCACTGCTGCTTCCTGTTAAGGAAGGTGTCTGTACTCTGATGTGACCGAGGGGAAAGAGGACAAATAATTTTCAAAACTTTCATGACGTAACAAACCCGAGGAGCAAAGTTCTTCTTCAGGAGCTGGTAGTCATTTGGATAATAAAGAAATTCCTTAATTTTTATGGAACCCAGATGTTCACAAGAGCCCCCTGAGTCAGACGATTCAGTCCATACTTTGACACCCTGTTTTCCAATAGCTATTTTAATATACTTGAACTTACATCTAGATAACAAACACAGTCAAGTGGGTAGTATTGCTGTTTTGTATTTTGGAAGCCCCAGATTCAAATATTGTTTCAGAGACCTGCTATTCTCATTGGTTTTTATGTTGTATTCCTCTGTCCCTGCAAGCAAGTGCTGGGATAGTACCTCAGTTGGGTTACAGTTGCTTCCTTCCAAATCCTTTCCAATGTAGTGTTCATTATCCTATCATTTGACACTATAATCTGAGGTATGGGTACTTTCCTTAAATAAACTATAAACATATCTACATCTTACTGAAATTAAAATAGAAATTAATCCTTTTTAAAACTATAATTTTCTTAATTTTTAATAATTGTTTGCACCCTTGCCCCCCCCTATTATAAATGTTGCATGGCATATTGCACCTGCCAGCATGTAGTGAGTGATATCTTGTCTGTTCCATAAAGCTTTGTTTGTGACGTGGGGCTGAGGGGAGGGGTAGAGTAACACCTGTGGATACAAGAGGATAGCAAATTAGTGTGTGAAAGGAAGGGAGCTAGTAGGGGGGTAGAAGAGGGGACTGGTATGAAAAAATGCAGGTGTCTTTCCATTCCCTGTCAAGTAAATAGATAGAACTGTGCCACATTTCATCACAGGTCTCCTTACAGGTAAGTTTTAAATTTAATTAATTATTTTGTAAAAAATTTACTTTCTATCTGCCAGTGGCTAATGCTGCATGATATTTAGCATACAGTGACAAATGTTTTATTGATATAAGTATATAGAGTGTGGTAACATCACAAGTAAGAATAAACAAACATTGATGATAGCAGTGAGTGTACATACTCCACAGGCAAAGTCCTTGAGAAACTGATAGTCATTATAATAGTCAGGAAATTTCTTCTTATAGAACCTGAAGTTTCAGTACTGTTTCCACAAAAGCCTGCCATTGACCCTATCCTGAGCCAGTTTGATCCAGTTCACAACTTGACACCCTGTTTCCATAGACTACATCTTAATGCTATTTCCCATCTATACTTAGGTCTCTCAGGTGTCTCTTCACTTCAACATTTCCAATTCAAAATTTGTATGCACCTCTAAGTAGACTGTTGGCAAATGCTTAAATAGCAATTTAACCTTACAAACCCTGAAGCTCCTCTAAATAATATTTAATAGTTCAGTTTCCACCTCACAGAAAACATAGGTATCTATTACAAAGACCAATCAGTTAATGCTGTTTCTTTGAGAGTAGTCTTATTCCCACTGTTTTTATTATTTTGGGCTGAGGGTATCAGCCGGAGCGTCTTCAGGCGGGGATTTATTTGCTCTTTTATACGTTATTGGCCTATCTTCCCATGTTGATAGGGATTTTTTGTGGTTTTAGTTCTTTACCTTCTGTTAGTTTTTTCATTTTGGCTGGAGCAGAGGTCTTTAGTGGTTTTTTGTATTTTTGTATGATTTTTGCCTTTTTAGTTAGGATGCCCATGTTTTTAGTTCATTTGTGGCTGCCTAGGGCTCATGTGGAGGCTCCTGTGTCTGGTTCGATGATTTTGGCTGGGGTTTTGCTTAAGTTAGGAGGGTATGGTCTGTTACACGTTTTTCCTATTTTGGTGAAGTTTTTTAGTTTTGGGTTGGTCTGGGTTTCTGTGAGATTCTGTGAGATTGCATGCTGTCAGAGTCATATGAAACGCGTAAATAACATGTGGCCCAAACACTGAGCTTTTCAGTGTTAAACCAGGTTGTATATACATATATATTTTCCACTGTGCTCTCAAGGGCCAAAACAGACTACAATTCCCTTCTCCAACATCTCTCTCAGTCCATCACTCTACAGTAGGGTGCCAACAGGGTGGCAAGAGCAAACCAAGCATCTGCATTTCACCTGGGTTTTTGGACAAAAATCAAAATTAAAAAAAAAGAAGGAAATGTACCCAGTATTAATGCCAAAAATTATTATTCTATCCTGAATTCTCTGTGGCAATCAGTAAGAGTATTCCTAAACTGCCTTAAATGTATAAGCATATTTTCTGCCATTTCCCCCACCCTTGAAAAAATCCTGGTTGTGTTCCTTATTGAGAACTGTCCAATCATAAGATTTTGCATAACACAGCCTCATTAATTAACTAACGATAAATATAATTAAAGCTGATCAATGAACCAGGGCAGAGAAAAATGTAGCAAGTTGTTATATATAAGTTAATTAGTGCCAGCAGGCTAGTATCTGTTAGTTATGCTGTTTCCATGAAAACAAAATGCAAAACTGTTTTCACTTAGTTATGGTATGACCAGAAGATGTCAGCAATAAATGACAGTTTTTTGATTGATATAACAGCTCATCAACTGATACTCTTTTCCTGTTGAATTTCCAACAGGCATTCTACTAATAAGAAGGAACAGGAAAAATGTCAGGAGATGAAAATGCAGACATTGAGAAAGCTGTGAGTTATTTATAAGCAGCATGTTATTGGAAAGGGTCATGTAGTGAGTTGCGGTTGGGAGGGATAAAGGTTCAAACCAGACACTACCACAAGAAAGAAACAAAGGAATTAACCTCCCCCCACATTTTAAAATGTTTATTGAATATATCAATAAAAGTTCATTTAATTTCTTTAATTTTTATATCAAGAAAATATATTCAGACTTTGGCAATCAGTTTGGAACTGAAATTCCAGGAAATTCAGAGGCCATGTGTACAGAAATTATACATGAACTCCCTAATAAAATGTGACCCTTTGAAGCCTTCAATCATTCAACTGTGTGAGACATTCACTACCGATGCTGGACATGGAGGTTCATTAACATCACAAAGTCGCCAATGAACCATTTCCTGAACCATTTAATTCCAGTTATAACTTTGTAACCTATTTTCCTAACATCAATTTTAATGTTATCCTATTATCTTTCAATTAAACTTTCTATCCAAATATTTATAACAGCCGAGAGTTAGTATAGTGACTGGCTATGGGCTGGATGATCAAGAGGTCGGAGTTCGAGTCCCAGTAGGATTCTGGGCTCTGGGGCCCACGCAGCCTCCTATCCAACAGGTACAGAAGGCTCTTTCCCCAAGGGTAAAGCGGCCGGGCCGTGAAGCTGAACAATTACCTCCAACTAGTGCTGAGGTCAATAAAACATGGATTTATACATCCACTCCCCAATATGCCTTCATGGCATAGTGCTTAATCAGTTAAGCATAGGGACAACTTTACCCTTTCTTACCGTTATTCAAATTTGTGTAAGTACTTAAAGAGTCGCATATATGTATTTGAAGAATTTTCTTACTCATATAAACACGTTAGGAAATGTAAATACAGAGTTACTATTTTGGAGTGTTCGTTCCCTTTTGTTTAATAATTTCAAAGTCTGTAGGACTGGCAGACAAAGTGTATTGAACATACATGTGTGTTCCGTTTTTCTCTATACTTCTTCAAGCATTTTTTGATAATAGTGTGTGAGTTTCATTCAAAACTCTCGCAGAAGCGCATGTACGCCTTAATGTAAATTGTCCGTTATTGTTGTTTAATTTTAACCAAATTGAAATGTGTACAAACATTACGTAGTAGTAAAATTTCTCAATATAAAATTTCACGAGAACTCAATCAGCATTTTTCGAGTTGCCACATGGGAAAAGACGGACAGACAAGGTGAAACTAATAAGGGTATTTTTGCACCTTTTCACTGTAAACGCTTCAAACTCCTAATGTTTCAGATACAGTGTCCGAAATATCAGATTTTCTCGACCGAAAAGACTTCATTTTGCGATTCTATGATGCTATTTTGCGACGCTTAAACTCTAGCGCGACGCCATGAAAACTTAGGGTTCCATGGAAGTAAAGGTCTACGCACGCTGTATCGCGTTAGTTGATTGGTCAACTTTACGCCCCGACCGCGCTAACCCGTTGAAAATGTCCATGGCACCATGAAAACTGTGTGGAAAGCAGCTTCAGGTCGAAATAAATGAGCATCAAACATGACATGAGGCCGTTCTAGTTGTTTACGTCATCGTAGTTTGCGCTTTTAAATGCACAATTTTACGATAAACCTCTCACGAAATGCCCATACGATGTACTCAGAGGATGACGTTCCTGCCTCAGTGTGTTCGAAAATTAAACTTCCTCCAACTTCTTGGTTGACATTGCGTGTAATATCTATAATAAAAATATTTAAACTGTCTCTTCCGAATATTTCCGCGAAGATAACATATCCACGGAAGTGAACCTTTTCCTTTAAAAAGAACAAAACCAAGGAGAGAGATTTAATTAAAATTCTTAACTACTGCCTAAGTTTGATATCGCCATCCTTAAAATAAACACCAGGGCAGCTCGCCGGCACTCCATGGAGCACCAGGGCGCCATCCTGCCTCCACTATAATTCCGCAGTCGATATAGCGACTGTCTATGGGCTGGACGACCTAGAGATCGGAGTTCGAGCTCCGGTAGGGTAAAGAATTTTTTCTTCTCCACGTCGCCCAAACCGGTTCTGGGGTCCACCCACCCTCCTATCGAATGGGTACCAGGGGATCTGTCCCCGGGGTTAAAACGGCCGGGGTGTGAAGCTGATTACTTACCTTCAACTAGTGTTGAGTTCAAGAATACGTGGATCTATGCATCCACTCCCCCATATGCCTTCATGGAGTAGTGCTTAATTATTCAAATACAGAAACAACTTTCTTGATCTGGATAGGAGACTGGGTGTGCCCCAAAGGTGGTCTGGACACAGTGACGAAAAGAAGAGTCCCTGCCTGTGCCCACAATGGGACCCCAAAAGCTCGGCATATGTTTTGATTTGAATTGTCGTCAATCGTTCAGATCAGAAGAATAGCCAGTTTGGGGGAAATTGTCTTATGAGCGAGGTAGAGGGCTGGGGAGCAAAAGGCTGCAGGATTCCAAGTCTGCAATTTGAAGAGTTCAATTGTGGCCAAGCGCGGGAGTGTACAGTCTCCACACATCCATATGCTGCTAAGCTCCATGTTCTCCAATTAAGCCCACTTAAAGCACTCCTATTCACATATTCACTTCTAGCCTTACGTCACTTCCGGTTCAGTTACTCCAAACGACCGTTGGCTGCCGTTTAGCCCTAGTTATCATAACCTCTGAAACCAAACACTGCAAGTTTCACTTGTGTTTTCTTTTCCTTATCCTAGCCTTGTACCCCACTCCGAATTTCAAAATTTTTCGGAAATACTGAGTTTTTGGACTTCGCCCATCGTCGCGTATAAGATCCAGTTTCTGAAACGTCGTGTTTCCTAGAATGCCGGATAATGGACAAAGTCCAAAAACCCAGTAATCCCGATTGTTATACACCGTCGTCAAAACCCTTCAGAATCTACTTCAAAACTTTACATTCACACAAAGAGGTGTTCAGACTGAAAGAGTTTGAGAACTTCGAATATTCTTGACCTCATGAGTGAAGAGGCAATGACGCTCGTTTCTTTGAATGCAGTTCAGCAAAAGATCCATAAGACGAAATAAAAAGAAATTAAATGGTTTTCATTTATATATATATATATTTTCAAGTCCCGATGAGGTCATTGGATTTTTTTTTCAATTTACCTAATCCTTCCAGCCTCACTATGGCCCTGGGGTCGACTCAGCCTCTAATAGTTCTGAGTACCAGGTTTATTCTTGGAATATTCTTGGGTGTAAAGGGCAGCTGGCGCGTAGGGCTGACAATCTTACCGCCATCTATGAGCCGATTGTCTCTAAAATGTGAGAGCCTCAACATCTCAAAACCCTATGAGCCTTCATAGCATAGTGCCTCAACCAACTACGCTTTAATTAAATAATTTTCCTGGGGAGTAAAGCGCCGCCGGCGCGTAAGGCTGACAACCTTACCGCCACCTTTGAGCCGATTGTCTAAATCAAGGGTCTCCAAACTACGGCCCGCGAAAGAATTGCGCAGAAATGCGCCAATTGAACTAATTTTCCAATGAGTACTGGTAAAAAAATACTTGTTCATAGATTTCAAATTCATTAATTAAGATTGTGTTTAAAATATATTGATATTCCTATTCCATATTATGTTAATATTAATATTATTCACAATTTTACTAATTCTGGACCGTATACTGCGCGGTATTTCTTCGTACTTGTTCGGCCTCGATCGGCAGTGTCACTTCGTGGCAATGGAGGTAGAGCGAGCAGAATTTT